ATTAAGCTTTTGCAAGATCAGGTTAAAAGGAAAATAAGCTTATCTTAATAATCATACATTGATAAAGTTTTGACCAGGTTTGGTATGCATAACTCAAAGAATGAGTTCTTGCTTTATTGATATGAATTGCTCTCTCTAGTAAGTAGTTTTCCAAGACTAGTAGAGGAGATTGAGTAAATGAGACTGGAACTATATGCTTTGGCATATATGAGTCTCATATATGCCATGGTCTATACCAAACAAGACATCCGCTACATAGTAGGGATAGTCAGTAGATATCAGTCCAATCCCAGACCTGATAACTGGTCTGTTGTGAAAATATCATAAAGTACCTTAAAAGAACCAATGATCTCATACTCATTTATGGATGTGATGATATGGTCCTAGTCAGGTATGCTAGTTCTGATTTTCAATCAGAAATAAATACTATGAGGTTCATGACTTAGTATATGTTCTCTCAATGGAAGGGAAATCAGTTAGTAGATTGTTAAGCAAATTTCAACTGCTAACTCAAACCCGAAGGTGGAGTCCATTGCAGCTTTAAAGGCGGCAAAGGAAGTCTTTTAGTTTGATCTCACTGATTTATAGGTTGTGGAGCATATTAGCGGGCCTATCGAGCTATATTACGACAATAGTGCAGAAGTAGTCCAAACCAATGACCCAAGGTTCCATAGAGGAACAAGGTACATTGAAAGGAAGTATCATATCTTACATGATATTGTCCGCCAATAAAATGTACTCATGGCTAGGACATTGCATTGGAACACAACTTTATTAATCCATTTACAAAGGTGTCATCGATCAATAGTTTTGATCAACACGTGGATAACATTGGAGTTAAATACAATTTGAATTGGCTATGAAGGCAAGTGGGAGCTGTTGGGATTTATATGCTCTGACATAACAAATTCCTATTTGGATTATAGTAACAAATGGTCCTGACATATCTGAAATATTTATGATTTATATAATTGGTGAATTCAATGTATTATGTTTCAATTCATTAAGGAATTGATAGTGTTCATTTGATTACAAGAGATATTTATATATGTATGTGATGGCAATCAATACATGAATATAAATAGTAATCATAAATTGTTCATAGTCACTAATTATGGATGGACTCATTATTAACTAAGATTTGAACTGGATTCGCGTTAGGTTGAGATATATTGCGAGAGCCGTCGTATGCAATTGCTCTCTATCACCGTCATGGCATTTGACTCTTAAGCATGAGAGAAGTATAGACTCCTTTATTAATTAATAATTACTTTGATTTGTTTGGCGGAATCTTCGTAATCCTTAGATCGGCACTTTGGATAATTATGTAATTAATAGTTAGGGGGTTATATTTTCAATATTTGCATCATTACTACTTATATTTATTTTGTATTGATTATGGTTGATCACAAAATAAATTCGAAGGCCTTCGTGTTGTTTTAGACAAAATGATTCATTATATATTTATTTATTTAAATTATTATTTTTGTCAAACAAATGCTTTATTATGATCGAGCTAGAAATAATCAATGATATCAAAATAAATATATTAATTAAGTAGTCGGATTGATAACTTTATTTATCCAATAACTAATTATGCATAGAGGGGTCAAAGTGGAACATTGACTTAGAGGTTATTTATTATTTAATTGAAATTCAATTAATTTCTTTTAGTGCAGTAGAAATTAATTTATGAATTAATTGAATTGGGTTCATGGACAGGCCAATTATTAATTCATTGTAACCAATAAAATAATAAACCCAAATGATTCTCACTTATAGCCCAACTTGATATTGGAATCCTATTAGATTTGAGACATGTGAATTAGAGATGGAGAATGATTTATTGTTTCCTTTTCTTTATCTTTATGTTGCCTATATATATACATGGTCTATGTATATTTTAGAAGTAATTTTTGGAAAAAGGAAAAATGAATATATTTTCTCTCTTTATAAAATTAGGGTTAATGTTCTCATCCAATGGAGACTCCCACAAGCCTAATTTTCCAAGGTCATTCATGGAGGCTTATGAGTGAATCCTAAAGATAAAACAATTACTAAAAAGATGGAAATCTAAGGAGAATGCATTTTACTAAGGGATTTACAATAAGTGAGAACATTCACTTTAGAGAAAAGATTTAAAGGTTTACTCAGACCTTTGATGTAAGTATTCAATCTGTTAATTGAATAATATATCATATTTTATTTCTGCATAAAACTTGTCTCTATGTGATGAATCAAGATTTGTGAATGAAAATCTCTCGAAAAGTTTTTAAAATTAGCACGTTTCCCAACAGGAGCATGTATAATAACTTGTCGAAAATTAATAAATAAATTATTTTTGTTAAATTTTAATATATTTTTTTATTCATAAATATTTTACGACAACCAAATAGCAAAAAATAAAAACATCCAAACAAACACCTAAATAACATATTGTTACAACTTTTCTAAACAAACGCCTAAATAACAAATTGTTACAACTTTAAATATCATTATTACTTGAGTTGTGATACTTAGACAGAAAGATTAGACCGATTTGTTAGACACAATCTACATGACACAAAAAGACAATTAATATGACAATCAAATAGTCCAACTAGCATGTCCATTAAAACAACATGAATTTTTAAAGACAAAATTACCCTTATATTATCTTCTAGTATTCATTTAAAAAACAAGTATAATTAAAATTTTCTTAAAGGAAGGAGATATCCACACTCCACTTTTCAACGTTTGCACTACAATTTTTAATGAAATGACAATTCTAACCCTAACTTTACAAGTAAATAATTATTACTTTTTAAATGACAAAACTGTCCTTTTAGATTTCCTCTCCTTATTTCTAATCTTTATTAATTTAGGTCTCTTTTGACAAGACAAAAAAATAATTGAATACTTTTTTTTTTTTTTTTTTTACTGGACTAAAAAATAAAAATTTATATTGAATAAATTGCCTCTTTTGACCGGATGAAAAAAATAAAAAGTAACCATTAAAAAAATTATATCTTTTGACATGAAAAAAACCCCAAAAAAACATATTTATTGAAGAAATTATCTCTTTTGTCAAGTTCCCAAAAGAAAAAAAAAAAAAAAAAAGGACTAAAAGAAGAGGATTAAATATATATATATATTGAATAAATTATCTCTTTTGATAACACCCAAAAATAAAATGAAGGTTATTTTTATCTAATAAATTATTTCTATTGACAGGGTTTATAAAAAATTATCAAAAAATAAATAAATAAGTTACCTCTTTTAACTGAAAAAAAGTTAAGTTTGTTGAATAAATATATATTTAGATTGTACAAAAAAAAAGTCATTATGGAATAAATTATCTCTTTTGATAGTCAAAAATAAAATTATTAGTATGGAATAAATTATTTTTTTTAGAGAATCTCTGGAAAAAAACAAATAGAAAGGAAAAAAACAAATAGTAAATTAAGTAAAGAAAGTAAAAAATAGTTAAAGTTGTATAAAGGGTAGCTATGACATTATAAATTAAGGAATAGCGCATTAATGAATTCAAGGACCTTCTGTCATTTCTTTTAAAAGAAAAAGATAAACAGAGTGCAATTGGAGAAAAGTGGTTTGCGAATAAAGTACGTATTACTTGGGATATAAACATAAGCATGAAATAAGTACGTATTACTTGGGATATAAACTACGTATTGCATGGGATGTTAAGTAGGATTATGTTGGAATTTCACGTATAACTTATACCGACTTAAATTACAAACTGTTGGGATGTTATGTACAAATAATCCATTAGGATTATGTTAGAATGTTGAGTACAACTTATATTGACTTAAATTAGAAACTGTTTGGGATGTTATGCAGCACACAAATAATTAAACAAAAAAATCATGTCAGTTTAGATGTTGCTCTATTTCAATTTTGCTATGTTAATTTGGAATAAAATGACCTAGTATACTACAAAGAAAGTCAATGAGAAATTTATGGAAACAAATAAATGAAGAAATAGATGAAAAATTTATGGAAACAATGAATGAAGAAATAGATCTGTGATTCGTTTTGGAAACAAATTAAAACATATTTAGAAATTTATAGAAAAAAGGAATTATAAAATAGATATGTGATTCGTTTTGGAAGCAAATCAAAGAGAATTATATATGGAGATTTAAAAGAAAACTCTAACTCTCTCTCAAACCTTTCTGAAACCATTTTGAAACTCTCTCTTTCTTCCTCTAGCTTTCTCACTCCGAAACCTTTTTAATTCTTTATGGGCAAATCAAAATCGCTGCTTCCTGCTTCTATTTGAAAAAAAATCAAAATGTGAAATGGGTTAAAAACTGACGAGATTTGGATTGTTGAAAGTAAGGGAGGGAAGAAGTAAAGGTATTTGTGAACAGTATATACATATATATATATATATATATGTATGAAATATATGGAAATTGTATATAAAATAAATACACATTTTTACCCACCTTTGTAATTATTGTTCATTAACAGAAATGGAGAAAATGACCTACTGTAGAACAGGAGAGGATCCGATCCCCTGGTCCAAGGGCTGATACTTGATAGTCGTCAATTGTCATCGTGGTAAGCAACCTTTAAAACATGATTAATGTCCTTAACAGGTTAAAAACTATTTAATTGGATAGAATTAAAAGTTTGATGCTTGTAGTGAAATTTCAAGAATAAAATCATTTTTTTAAAAAAATTTAAGCCCAAATATAATATGCGGATAATTTTCTATTTGATATAAAATGTTTTATATGGTATCATTTAAAATCTAAAAACAAAAATGATAAAAGTTCCTATCATAAATATGGTTCCTAATTCCTCTAACCTTAGAACTACCTTTCTTTTTCTTTTTCTCTTTTTCTTTTTTTAAGTAAAACCTTTGAATTTGTAGACCAAATCTGTATAGCTGAAGGTAAGTATAAAGACTATTAATGGGTGATAAAAAATAATAAATAGTAATAATAATAATAAAAAGACTATTAATGAAGTAATACAATTCTTCTTAATTAATGTCACTCTCACGCTTTGAGCGCATTCTCGTTCTTACGTTTCGCATGCGCTTTAATTCAAATTCTCACTGTGTACGACTTAATTCTGCCCTTCATGTTCCTTCTCTCGAATTTACTCTTACTTTATGTGACTTAAGTCCAAAACTAACCGGGTTGACCCAATAACCATCTATTTTATGATTATCTAAACTTTCGGGTTTTAATTAAAAAAAATTGGAATTCGGAAAATGGCTGTGTACGGTTGGGGAGGCAAAAGATATTTCATAAACATCAGGGCAGCCTATTGATAATATTCAACAAATAAGGGTTCTATTTTTTATATACACGCTACTTTCACCCCTTAGGGCCTTCCCTTCTTCAGCCATCATCCCCCCCCTCTCTCTCACACACGCACACTACTTCATACTCTCACACACGCACAAACACCAAATTGAAGAGATATTCTGGTTGCTTCAGATTGGAGGTAAATTCACAACTCTGGATTTTATCTTATTTTTTTAGAAAATTTAGATTTTTGATGAATATAGGAGCTTTTACATGGAAATTTCCTGAGATTTTCTGTTTGTTTTGATGGAATTTACTTCTTGATCTTGGGAAAATTGAACAAAGTAATATTCACATCTCTCCCTCCATGCCTTTCAGATGTTTCAAAATCACTTTTCCTGATCTTGCATTTCTTTATTATCTGATGTTCTATGTGTTGGATTGTTCTTGTTCATGCTATGATGAGATCATTTCATTTATGAATTTAGGGCATGCGAGTTTCATCTAATTCGTTTGAATACGAAACTACCCAGAAAATGAAAGTACTCAAAGAACGCGTCTTTGGGTGGACCCCATGAATCCCTTACAAACATGCATCACTTTTTTAAATTTCCACTCACCTTCGTGTGTATGCATGTATATATATATATATATATATATATATATATATAGTTCAGACAACTTTATGTTTATGTCTCTCCTTCCTCTTGCCTTCCTTAGGACGACCAGCCTTGAGGACTACAACTTCTACTGAACAATCTCCTTTAACCATTGTTTACGCCTCAGAGTCATCAACATACATGTGGAAATGTCTTCTCATGCTCTTAGAATACTAATACTTGTAATTGGTATCACCATTTTTGTTCTTCTGTGGATAGCAAATGTTTATGTTATTCTTTATTGCACCAAAAGTACTCCCCGATCGAAGCCCCATTTGGAGTCTTCATTTGGAGATCATTATATCACACTCTCTTATGCAGAACTTCTTCAAGCTACGGATAAATTCTCTCCGGCCAAAGTGGTTGGTGAGGGGCGTTATGGTTGTGTTTATAAAGGGGTTCTGAATTCTTTTGGAGATGTTGCTGTTAAGGTACTCAAACTTCAACGCCGCGGAGCAAGCAAGAGTTTTGTTGCTGAATGTGAAGCATTAAGGAACACTCGCCACCGGAATCTTGTCAAGATCTTCACAGCTTACTCGGGATGTGATCACAAAGGCAATGAATTCAAAGCTTTGGTCTTTGACTTCATGCCAAATGGGAGTTTGGAGAGATGGTTGCATCCAAGTTCGTCTGTGCAGTTCAACTCAAGGAACTTGAATCTAATCCAGAGGCTAAACATTGCCATCGACGTGGCATGTGCTTTGGATTATCTTCACAATCGTTGCACACCACCAATCATTCATTGTGATCTAAAGCCAAATAATATTCTTCTTGGCAATGAGCTCTGTGCCCATGTAGGTGATTTCGGGCTTGCAAGGTTTCTTGATTATATGCAATCCAATTCATCAATTGGGGTAAGAGGAACAATTGGGTATGTCGCGCCAGGTATTCTACTATCATTTATATGTCTCTTAATTTTGCGCCAGGTTAATTTTAGCATGGTAGGTATGTAGAACGAGTCTACACTATTTTGAACCTCATCTTGGTACTTCATGATGACTCAATTAGTATTTATAGATTGAGTGTATTGAAATTCTTGTATTTGTCTACACTATTTTGAACCTCATCTTGGTACTTCATGATGACTCAGTTAGTATTTATAGATTGAGTGTATTGAAATTCTTGTATTTCACTTTAGTGCAGTGTTTGAACGTAATAGTTGATAATAGATTAAAAGTTTTGTAAAACGTTGAAGTAAAACATTAAGAAATTGTCCAGTGTCCTATTAGATTTGAACCGGTAATTTTACCAATTGTGGTACATTGGCTTTGCATTTTGAACATTGTGTTAAATTCTATAAATTGCAGAATATGGTACGGGTGGGAATGCTACAACACAAGGTGATGTGTATAGCTATGGAATCCTCTTACTAGAGATGTTTACGCAGAAAAAGCCTACCGACAGCATGTTTATGGATAACCTTAACCTCCATAACTATGTGAAGATTGCTCTCCCGGATCGAGTGATGGAGGTTGTTGATCCCCTACTCATATTGGAAGCGGAATATGAATCAAACAGGACGGGCCAGAGTAGCAAAGGCAACCAGGGAAGAATAGAGAAGTGCTTGGGATTGATCCTTCGGATTGGAGTCGTATGTTCAGCTGAATTGCCAAGAGAAAGGAAGGGTATAGGGGATGTTCTCGCGCAACTGAATGTAATTAGAAATTATTTCTTGGCTTCGGAATGAGAGATGATATAGAGGTATGAGAGAGAATACACTGTTCAAGATGAAACTTTAGCTCCATATGTAAATTTTAGGGGATGTACAGAATTATTTGAAGGACCATAACTATTGTTTTGCTCATCCTAGTTTGTATTATGTGCATAACTGTATTTTATGTATTAAAGTCCATGTAAAGTTTAAAAGACAGCTGATGACATTGAACACATTTTGCTTATAAAAAATTGTATCTTTTTTTTCTATCATGAATTTTATGACTTTGTTCATGATCCCTTTTTGTTTCTCTGAGTTTGGACAGTTCAAGCCTGCAATATTAAGTCTATAAAATACTTTTATCTGCTTTCATTCCATCCGTTGCCATTGGCTTTGTATGCTTAATTTCCATTGCCATTGGCTTTGTATGCTTAATTTCAAGTGTAGACCCTCAGATGATTCATGGAGTCTATTCAAGATTTGAACCTGATGTAACCATTTTCTTTTCCTGTACTTTTCTCACTTGTTCTTTCTTGGGTGCCAATCAGCAAATTTAGAATTCACCTTGTTAATATGCAAATGCTTCCCTCTGCATCATTGATGTGAAGCCTTTGAAAAAGTAGTAATTGACCCAAAAAAAAAAAAAAAACAAACTATCAGATGTATGTGTGTGTTTGTAACTCTAAAGGGGAGGAACAAGAATAAGTAACAAAATGAGCAAATCCTATATGAAACAGAAAGGGAATGTGATAGCAAAAATTGAAATATCAATCTGGTCACATAAAGTAATCAATTACTTCCATAAAACTATCTTTATTTTTATTTATACATCTAAATATTTGGCATTTAAAATTTTCAGTACGTCATTTTTAATTTTTATCAAAGAAAACGTATTTAGAATTACTTAAAAATTAAAATTATCAATACTTAAAATTCTAACTTGCCGTATCGCTAGGTTCGTAATCCTTTTTAAGAGACCGATATCATTACTTCATAAACTGGCCGATTCAGCCTGTTTGTATTGATATTCGATCGAATTCGTTACACTGCTATCGTTATCCTAATCGATACAGCACTGTGAACCATTCTTAAAATGTCAAATTAATCGTGTAATTTCCCATGACAAATTTTCCCTCACATAACCCGGTAGAAGACGTGTTCATGCTCTAACAAGTGTTTTTTCCACGTCTCTTCCCTGCAGCTTCTCCCGTCTACGGCATTGTCAACTAACCACCGCTCGCTAAATGACAAAGCATTGAAAGGTTTTCATCTGAGGGTAGCCACTCCTCGACTCATATTAATATTATTTTATTATAAGGATTTAATATTATGACAAAACATTTAATAAAAATACCATCTATTTATTAAACGAGTGATCGGCCTAATTGGTTTAACAAAACTCACATCAAGATACAACTCATCTAATTGGTTTAACAAAATTCACATCAACATACAACTCATTTAATAACTACCTTAATCTGTTTAAATTAAATGAATAATGTAACATATTTATTAACTAAATTAAATTCAAGAGTGAATGGGTGAGTTATCAAATTCAATAATAATAATAAGTTAAAAATTAAATTTAATAGTTACCAAATTCAATTTATGAGTGAATTGGTAAGTCCCATCATATTATGTCACCACAGCGTCATGTGATTGGACGCACTAATACACTATCCCTTTTACATAAATTAAATTCCATAATTATAGAATTCGCTCTCTAAATCACTACTCATAAAAAATAAAAATAAAAATTAATTTATAAAAATTATGATAATTAGGACAATACAATTATATATATATAAACCAAGTGACAGCTACAATATTAATATTAGATTTATATTAAAATAATAAAATTGTGTATAGAATTAGATTAAAACATATTATTAGTTAATCGGATTAAAAAGATTAATTAAATAAATTTAATCGAATTAAAGTGAGTGAGTCCTTAACCCGAAACACAACACAATTAATTGAATTGGGTTAACTAATTAAGCCCGTCAACGGTTCTGGTTTTTTAAAAAGGGCTGGAAAACCGGCGTGGACGGTTGGGGAGGTAAAAAAATATTTTCATAACTGATAGGGTTGGTCATTGATTATTACAACAAATTCGGGGTCTATTTTGATATATACACTTCTTTTCCCCTTCTCCTCTACCGCCATCAGCCCCTCGCACCAAATTGAATAGAGATTCTGTTTGCTTCAGCTTGGAGGTTAGTTCATAACTCTGAATTGTTTCTTCCTTTTTTCAACAAATTTAGGGTTTTGATGAATCTACGAACTTTTCATGGGAATTTTCTGAATAGCTCTGTTTGTTTGAATGGAATTTTTAGTTCCTAATTTTCTGGATATGAAGAAAGTCGTATTATATATATATATATATAGGCATATGTATGCGTTTTATGTTGTTTAATCGTAGTTAAATTCTTGTAATCTTGCACATATTAACTAGAGAAAAAAAAAAAACGCATATTGGTTGATTTTGTGGATGGGTTGCTCGTAGATATTGAAAATTGTTCAGTTAAGATTTTTTATAATTGTGGGTAATGTTGAATTAAGTTGTCGAATGGTGTGGAATAAAATCAGCTAATCTCCTTCCGTCATCATCTTCTTCTTCGTTTTTCTTTGCCTCAAATTTTGAATCCCATAGGGGATGTAAACAAATTAATTAATTAAGTTAGGGCAAGTCTAGGTCGGCTTGGGCCTCAAATTTTAGAGAAAATATCCCAAATTTAAGTTAGGGCAAGTTTTTCAGACGACACAATCTGCTTCGACACTCCGCCTCCGCTATCGCCTCAGGCTCAGGTGACACCGTGACAAGGTATGGTCATCCTCTCTCTCTTCTCTCTCCTTTTGCATCCATCGATCTTTTTTGTTTCCTCTCCCTAAGTCCACTCCAGTCTCACAACAGCAGCAACCATACCCCTTTTCCTCCTAATTTTTTACATTTTCACATTCAATCCTACAAAAATTAAGGATCCCTTCTAGTGGGTTGAGGACCTGAGGTAATAATTAACTTTTTCGATCTCTAAATTATGTAAAACACACAAAAACACACACAAAGCTCCAGTGAAAACTCCAGCCAGGAGATCATTCGACCAAACTGCTTGATTTTAGATTTTTTTTTATATTATATTTATTGTATGAACGGCAATGCTTAGTTATTATTGTTTCCGTTTGATTCTCCATCCGTTTTATGTTAATTGTGATCTTCTTTCACATGCTGGCAGAACATTTATTTTGATATAAAGTTGAATTTTGATTTTTGTGACCAAGTTGTGTTGAATATTTCCTTTTAATTTTTTGATGTAAACTGGATCGTGCTCTTTTTAAAGCACCAAGACCGGATTTTCTTTTGTGTGTTTTCAACATTAATATATTTTATGTTCTTATCATCTCTTATTAATGAAAATTCCGCATTCTTATAAATTTTTTGTGCCATAGATTTATTGTTATTAGTTACCTGTCTTATGCACACTACACAGACGCACAATTACTTATTGGTGGTGATAGATTTATGGTTATTAGTTAGTTGTCTTATGCAAACTGCACAAATGCACAATTATTTATTGGTGGTGATAAAAATTTATAGTTATTAGTTAGTTGTCTTATGCACACGCGCACAATTATTTGTTGGTGGTGATAAATTTATAGTTATTAGTTAGTTGTCTTATGCAGAATGCACAAGCGCACAATTATATTAGCTAAAGAATTTGAAAACATAATGTGAAAATTCCGCACTCTTATAATTTGTTTTGCGTGTGTGAAACTTAAGGGTCTCACATTTGAAAGTTTGTCTAGGGCTTCTCAAAATATTTGAAATCTCAGGGCCGGCCCTGGTATGCGTCTGTATGTTGTTTTATCATATTTAAATTCTTGCAATATTCTATAATAGATACTTATTAACTAGGTAAAAAGAAGAAGGCACATATTGGTTGATTTTGTGGATGGGTTGAAACTTTGCTTGAAAATTGTCCAGTTAAGATTTTTTATAATTGTGGGTAATGTTGAAGCAAGTTGTCGAATTGTGTAGAATAAAATCAGCTAATGTCCTTCCGTCATCATCTTCTTCGTTTTTCTTTTCTCTCCATTTTCCCCTTTCCTGTTAAGCCTTTTTGGGTTCCACCGAGGGTGAGCCTTGGTGCAACTGTAAGGTTGCTTCATTGTGATTTGGAAGTCGCGGGTTTGAAACAAGGAAATAGCCTCTCTGCAGGCGGGGTAAGGCTGCTTACATTTGAACCTCTCCAAACCCAGCAATAGCAGGAACCCGTTCACTGGGTTTGACTGGGTTTGCCCTTTTTGGGTTCCACCATCAGTTCCTACTTTCCCTCCCTCTCTCTCTCTCTATATATATATATATCTTTCTCCATGTGTTTCAAATATTTATTATTTGATGTTGTATCTGTTGGATTGTTCATGCTATGATCAGATCATTCAATTTGTGTATTTAGATGTGAGTCTCATCTGATTCATTTGATTTTTCTTGTCAAATGTTTTTTTTTTTTTTTTTTAAATTATGTAACTTTTAATCTTATTGGGGCAATGAAATTGGATTCAGGCTGCAAAACTGATAATTATTAGGATGAACTTGAAAAGAAACAAAAAATTCGTTATGAAAATTCATCAGTAAATTCCCTAGATTTGTGCTCACATTTGCATACTTGTTCCTCGAAGAACTTTCAGCATATGCAATCCCCAAATATCATGACTTCTTACAGATCCCATCTCCTGAAAGGACTTGTATTCTGAAAAGCTATGCCTACATGGCATTTTTTCTCGAAGTTAGTTTTTATTGTGTCATATATTTATAGTTTTGTATGTGAATACATAGCAATTTTGCTTCCTTTTTTATTTATTTATTATTTGTAAATATAAATTGCAGCTGTTAACCTTTGATGTAACAGTCCCTCAACGTGCAGCAGGCCGACTTGAAAATCTCAAATTTGGCCAGCGAAAATGGTTTCTGGGTTAATCAATGCCAATCCTATTGTATATGAGAAAAAGGAACGTCGTGCTCGTACCCCTCAAGGTGATGTGGAAGAGTATGCTGTCGAACCAATCGATAGTCTAGAAATTTTTGATATCCTTTCAGTCGCTTACTTTTGATGCTTATTATATGCATTAAATTTTCCCAGATCTATAGTTGATAGTTTTTTTTTTTGGTCATGTTTTATCGAGGACTAAAAGTTGGCATGTACAATGAAAAACTGGATTCATCCCAATTTATGGTTTAGGTGTTTGTCAAACAATTTGATCAATGGATTTAGAGTCCTCTTGAACTAAGTTTTGCATGTTGAACACATGCATTGTATATAGGACACACCAAAAGGGAGTACAAGCAAGAATAAGGAAGAGTGTTCCCACAAGGCTTTAAGAAATTTATGCACATGTCAAAATTTTAAGGAATTATTTGGAAAAGAAAAATATTTATTATATGTCTGCTTATAGTGCTTTTCAAGAAATTAGATGTTGCTTCCTTTAATATTAGTTTCGTATACTATCCATAAATGTAAATCCAAACAGACCTCTTTGGTGATTCCTCCATTTTTAAGCCTTGTCGTATTCTCTTTTCTCAACGTACTCTTTTCATTGTTAAATTAAGGGTTGAAATCACGTGCCATGATTGCCATCTCAACACACAACAACAACCAAATAGAAAGGCCTCCACCACTCCCACAAAACTCTTTTTCCAAAGACTAACAATGACCTAGAAAATTACAAGGAAACTGTTCATAAATGAAATTGTAAGAAAAAATATATGGGATAGGGAGCACGTGCTATGTGCATCCACCTCTAGTAAAATATGATGCAGATGTAGTGGCCATATTGTTCGCAAACAAACACATAGTTAATTGGTATTTGGTATAGTATTTTTGTTTTATCATAAGATACACAATTGAGTCTTTAAGTACACATCTACTACATAGGATATGAATTACAACTGCACACTTTTTCTGTTAGGAAATGGAAATCTTGAATGATGGGGAAAGAGGGAAGTGCAAAAGGAACATGAGAATTACTCTAGAAAAGAGGGAAGAAAGAGGGAAGTACAAAAGGAACATGAGAGTTGAAGAAGAAGAAGAAGTAAAAAATGTAGTACAAAATTCACTAGATAAAAGAAGTCACTGCCAACAACTAATAAAAAAATCACAAGAAAGTAAAATTCTGAAGCAGGCATATAAGGTTCAATGATATATATGGTCAACATGCTCTAATATGCTGGAAATATTTTGCATCCCTGGTTGCTGATCTTGGACCAAGAGATATCTTGACCTATATTGTGGCCCCATCAACTGGCTACAGTGTCTGCATTTAAATGACTTGCAGGCATTATGCATACCCTGATGCACATACCAAACTCCTGAGGGATGCATGTCAGCAACTTGAGGGTTATTCCAATTTTGCATAGGTAATATGTGAAAATATGCAATCTCTCTCTCTCTCAAACATCAAGTTTCTTTTATTTTACGGAGACATATAGACAGGTTTATGCTTGCTGTTCAATGAACTTGTGCTTCAATTTAAGTAAAGAAATAGTGTTAGATAGTCTACTCATAAATCATCTTGCCGAAGTCTTAGATTTGTAACTAATCAGGATTAGTTTATGAACCCTTATTTTTTAGTTGGTACTCACACACACATGCCTCCATGGAGGCTTGAACCCCTGACCTCCCTTTGGAAAGTAAGGGCCTGATACCACTAGGCCACTTGCCCGTTGGTGCTTATGAACCCTTATTATTAATTCAACTCTACCTTGGGTTGTATCTTTGTTAGATCGCGGGGCAATCATTGTTGAAGCATGTGTGTAACCATATTTTTTTCTTGGTGGGTAAGATATGCACACACCCAACCCAAACACATATCCACTACTGCCCTAATGGAAGTTGAAGCCTCAACCTTCTAGTGGGAGAAAGGGATGCCGCATGAGCTATAATTTTGGTGGTTACGCATGTGAACATATTACATCAAAGAAATATAACTTTTGGTCTAATGCCTACTATGAACTTTGTGGCATCAAATTATTATTTTCTCTCCCACCTTTTTTTTATTTTTTTTAATTTTGAATTTGTTCTTTGAAAATATACTTCTCATAATCATTAGACAGGTACTATAGAGTTTTAAAACAAATCATACTGTGCTATTCATTGTTGGGCAAACTCTATGTTTTTCTTAGCGTATTCTTAAATCATATTAGAGACATAAAAGATCCAGAGCATCCTTATTCCTTAGAAGAGCTGAAGGTGATAACAGAAGATGCAGTTGAGGTAGATGACAAAAGTAGCTGTGTAAGGTAAAAATGATTTCTTCTACCGTCTTTACATTTTTCATTTTGTATTGAGTTTCATTATCGGCCATTTAATGGAAAAATGGTTCTTGATTTCAGGGTTACATTTACTCCAACAGTTGAACATTGCAGTATGGCAACAGTGATTGGCCTTTGCTTGCGCGTGAAACTTTTGCGCAGTCTCCCTACCCGTTATAAGGTATGACCTCTACTACCTTGTCATTAGGTTGGTTGATGACATCATCTATATGGTATATCTATATTTAGACGAGCCTCCGTTTGTCAAACATTGGAAGTTCACACAATTATCAGTGTGATGCACTAATTCTAGCTCTTGATGTTCTGTTGTGCCTGCACAAGTGAAAATAAGGAGTTACTGAATTTATTAATACATGACAATCAAGGAATTTTATAAAACCTTCAATTCAGGATTTTAGGAAGTTCATAATTGAAAATTTTCTCCCGTAACTTGATTAGAGACCAAGTCCTTGCTCTCGAGCCCATGTAACTCGGGGTTTCATATTCCTTGATGCTGTTGAAATAGGTGATGGTTGCCCGCCACCCCAACACCCCCCCCCACCCGTTTCCCCTCTTCCCATTTTTCTTAAAGAGCACCATGCAAACTTCTTACTAGTTTCCTCCCTTCGAGGCTTTAGCTTAAATGGATATAGTATCAAAAGTTTTTCATGTCATATTTTATCACGTGCATACTTAGATGTGTGTTTATATTAAAAGAACGAAAGAAAGGCACAACAAATAATGCAGTCAGTAGAATAACATATTTGCCATCTATTATTAAGCGAAATCACCCCATAAACCAAATATATCATGTAGCCAAAGCCTCATCTTGGCTGGAAAAGAGTACTTGTGTAGGTTCTAAAGACCCAAAGTTGAAGCTTTGGTGTTCCAGTCCCAATTGGTGCTTGAACATATTTTGGGTATGATTTCCTTATCAGAAAACAGTTAAAACACTGGCCATGTCACTACACAAAGCTTCTCCGTATATGTGTTATAACTGCTCGGATACCTTTGTCCCAATGGATTTTAGTATTTATGTGGACTTTATTTTTTTTTGGGTTGTAACCAAACTCTGTATAATTGCCAAAATTTTGTTTCCTTTGCCATTTGAATTTCACTGATTTTTTATTTTTATTTTTTGTTATTATTCCACTGATTTCATAGCTGAGGTAACAGTATATTAGAACTACCAATTTTCCTTTTCCTCCCATAATTTGCCATTTCCTTTTTCAACTTAGAATTTTCAAATCAAACTTTACCTGAATATAATCAGTACATATCTGAATTTGAAGTTGATGTAGGACAAGTGTGAAGGAACAAAAAATAGTGTGAAGAAACAAGGTCATACAAGCTCAGCTACCAAAATAATGTAGGACAACACTGTAGAAACTCAAGGATAGTTTTTGCATACGAATAATTATTAGTGGTGATGGGCTATGGAAAGCTTATAGATTATCTCTTAAATATGTGGAAGAAGATTTTATGTTTTTGAATGAAAAAGTGGTTGGTTGAATTTGGTTTGATGCAGAGGCCCATAATCACCTCTAGTGGAAAGGTTGAGTCATATAGCTTATATTCTGACATTTACTTGGTAAATTGAAAATGATAGCTGAGATCCTTCATAGATTTGACCCATCAAAGCTCATTTTTTCTTACAATCCTAAGGGAGTGATTTCGTTAATTCAATGTGATCGAGATTTTATGTGGCATACTGGCATGTGTGATGTGTATCACCCTTCATAGATTTGACCCATCAAAGCTCATTTTTTCTTACAATCCTAAGGGAAGTGATTTCTGTGATGCAATGTGATTGAGATTTTATGTGGCATGTGTATCACCCCTTCTGTTGATGCTCACTCTGGCAGCTTTGCAGAAACTAAGACCATATACATTCTACTGTTCTAGAAAGATATGCTGTAGAAAATATATTGGCTGGAGTTAATTTTACAAATGGCACAGGAAGAATGTTCAAAACGTGTGTTTCTGGGCAATTTTTAGGAACAATAAGCAAATTAATTGTGCAAGAATTTAGTTCATGCATTATTTGGGTTCACATATACTTCTATGCGCAATAGTAACAAACTTAGGTGACACTGTGGAATATGGCCTCCTGTCATCTTTATGGTTTCAAAGCCAAATCCTTACCATTTCACGTCATATTGCAATCCCTTCACTATACATATAGCCCATACAATTTTCCTTTTTTTCCCCTTTTTTCTTTGGTATGCACAAACATCAAAGCGTAACAGCTTTTAATTTGTCTAAAACTCACTCGAAGTCTCCAACCCTCTAATTATGTCGTTTGACATCCCTTGTGACAAAAACCATGAAGCAACTGTGCCATTCACATGGATAATATATTGGTTTTTGACCATTCTAAATTAATATCCCCTATGTTTGGAGTTGGCTACTTGAACATTGGATGTTATTGGTGTATGTGTTCATTAATTTTTATTGAATAGACAGACCATCTTAATTGACTTTCGGCTGTATCGCAGCTCAGTGACGATGTTTTAATTAAAATGCATGCGTTTTTAGCCTTGCCACTCGTCCATAAACTTGCCTACTAAAATATATTTTTGTCCTACTTGCTGTCCATCCAAATGGTTAGATCTCTGCCTGGAGGATCTGTTTCAGGTTGTATGTGAATTTGCATTTTCATCCAAACTCAATTTCATCATATATGTTTTAGGTTGTGGGCTATGTTACATGGACTCGGGTTGGGTACATGTGTCGGGTACAAGTATGCATCCATGCGTCGGACATGTCAAATCGCTAAACAAAAGGACACACGGACACTGCTAAATATTTGTTTTATTTAATTAGTTTATTGTATTTTATTTTTTGGAGTAAAGTAATGTTTTTATCTAATATAGTGTTCAATCTAAGCTTTTAACTCATTTTAAAGTAATAATACAATATAATTAAATGATTCGATATGCTTTTTAAGTACATGTCCAACCGAGTGTCGGGCACATATCCCATACCCATGTCCGAGCAATATGTGTCCGACACGGGTACTTCACTACTTTTGAAGATAACATAGGTTGTGGGTGAAAGTTCAGGTTGTTGTCCATCATCAATTTTTTATTTTTTTATTTTTGTGATAAGTGAAGTATATTAGAAAAGCGCTTAAATGGGGAGCTCTCAAAGTGTCCACAAATTCAACTTTTTCCTTCATGAATTTACAATAATACCCTTGAACCCAAAAAAAAAAAAAAAAAAACATGGCAAAGACTCAAAATAGAATATTTAAGCGCCCAAATAGGAACTTCCTCCCCTTCTAAGGATCTCCTATATCTCTCCCTCCACAACCCCCACCATAAGCGAAGGGGTGTAGCTCTCCAAGCATCTAGGGACTGTCTACCCACTATACAACCTCTCCAAGCGTCAAGCATGCTCCTTGTGGAATCCAATAACACCCAATGAACATCGAAACATGGAGAATCATAGACCAAATGCCTCCAGCCATCAGGCAATGCAAGGGAAGATGGTCTACCGACTCCACTCTGCATCCAATTTTGAGTTTCCTTTTCCTTTCATGTTGACAAGGGGCAGTGGTATTCTTTCTATCTAAATAATGGGAAGAGGTTAGATATGTTGGAATGCTAAAGACTTGAACCAAGAATTTCTCAGCCTGGGATGAGGTATTTAATGGAGCAATTTGGTGTCTGAGAATCAGAGATGTTCTATACTGAACTGGAAGGTTTATTCTTTCATGTGGGGTCTTTTGTTGGCTTTATGATTTTCTTGCTGCAGTCAGGGGGTTAATAGGAGGTTGAGGCTTCAGAGTGTTTCCTTATTTTAATATCCAGGTCCTTTTCTGCTCTAGCTATTTTTCTTACATAGTGTTGGTCCTGCCTATGCAAACTGTTGCTCAGTGGACAGGAAATAGACCTACCCTTCAGATTATTTTCACACAGTGGCTGCTTGACTGGTTTTAGACACAGAATCTGTGTGCTGATCCTTATATCATTGCACCCCAAGAATGACCTCTTCCTTTTAACATCTAGCTATTGACATGCCAAAATCTTTTTCAACAAATCAATCTGGAGTGTGACTGATTTCGAATATTGCTTTTTTAATTGTCCTACTTCTTTGGCTAAAATTTAAGAGCAATAATTTGATTTCTAAAAAGTGAACCATGACCTAGAGGTGACGGTTAAGTTTTTGTTATTGCTTTAAATATTCTCTATTTATCATCGTACAGATTCAATACTGCCCGACTTATGTGCTGGTTATTGGTCAAAGGACTTGTTTTGTTGGCTGACTATGTTTGGAGGTAAGAAGATCAGTGCTTGCTGAGAATAGACCTAATGGGGTGATATACGGCTATACTCTAAGAGGAACATGTGCATATGAAATTCACAGAGAATAAAAAAAAGTGCATATGAATAGGCTTAACAGGCAACACTCGCAGTTTAAATAGTTATTGGAAAGCATAAACTTGGTTTTCCTGTTTTTGGTAGACTCTCATTGACAAAAATAGCAAATCAGATATTTCTAGTTAAGTTTGACAACTTAAGTGGGATATTTTAGGCTTCCTAGACAGTCAAAAGCCTCCTGCTAAGTTAAGCTATAAGTTAAGCTTTATGTTTGTTAAGTTATAAGTTCTTCACTATTGTGGTATTTCAAATCTACTGGTCCTACCAAGGATATGTTGATTCCCATAATGGAGTTGGACATTAACCTTTTGAGTGTAACTTTGTTAATGTAATTGGTAAAGTTAGGTCGGATACTTCTGTGTAAAATATTAGCTTCACCTCTGTAATGCGTCATTATCAATCAATCAGTGTTCTACATACTATGGACTGTATGCTGTTAATCAAGCCAACTATCTGGTGGTACCACAGTAAATAACGGCCACTATTTTTTTATGAATATCAAGTTACATTATCATGGTATTTTTATTTTTTGGTTGTAATATATTTTGATTGAAGTTTCCAAATATTATATAGCCTTGATACTAGTGCAGTGTTCACCTTTGCAGGTGCTAGTTTTAATCTGAGTTTTCTTTATTTTGGTTGTTTCTTATCCTCTCTAACAATCAACTCTTGTTGCTTTCTAGGTGGATATTAAGGTAGCACCTGGGACTCATGCAACTGAAGCAGCAGGTCGGTCTCCCTCTCTCTCTCTCTCTCTCCTTTGTACTTCTTTCTTGCCTTTAGTACTTAACACGTGGTTTCAGAAAAGACCCTCATCCTTGTGTATATGTGCATGTTGCAATTACTTATCAATGGCACGCATTACCATATAAATAGTAGTGTGTGGCAACTTGTCTGTTGGATGTTGCTTACCGCCAGATATATGGGTTCAAGACTCCTGGCAAGACAAATCTTCTTAAGCTTCTTGATAATCAGATAAATAAATTTAATTGGTATCAGCATTCATAGTGGATAATTTCATTTTGAACTATGGTAATGTACTTTATGCTCTATTTAGTAAGTAGAGCTACTCGCCCTGTTGATCAGTTTTACGAGTATAAAACAGTTCGGAAATTCATTTGGTTGAATCGTCATCATCATCATCCCTGCCTTTATTCCATATAGATGGGGTTGGCTGCATAAATACTATCTTTCCATTCTTTTCTATTGTACATTATGTCTTCTCATAGATATAACTTTTTTAGATCGATTCTAATTACTTCATCCCACGCAAGTTTTGGTCAGCCTCTTTGGTTGACAGTTTGCTAAAAATTGAGTAAACCAATTTTGGAGATAGGTTTTTCAAAGGAGTAACATGACCACTTGATGTCACAAGTTACCTCATAATTTTTTCAGTCGGTAAATCTCAACTTTTCATTTTAATTATTTTGCTGGTGGTTTTATTTTTGCTTGCAGTAAATAAACAGTTGAACGATAAAGAACGGGTAGCAGCAGCATTGGAAAATCCTAACCTCGTAAATATGGTTGATGAATGCTTAGCTCCATCATTTGCATGAATGAGAAGTATTCCTGAGCTCATGCCGTGGAAAAACCAACCTCTCAAGACTTTTGTAGTTGCACTTCTGTTCGGGTCACATATATACACACAGTTTAGTTTCACATGTCATTAGCTTTTTAAATTATTTTTATTTTTGTGAGAAACATTTTATATGTTTCCTCTTTTTGCTTGGGTCAATGTCGTTGGCTTTAGCTGCATGTTTATGATTTTTTGAAACTCAATGTTTGAATGGATAGAAGTATAATGCAGCTATACATAAATTTGTTTGTAATTCTTTTTAATAGATTGCTGTGGAATCTCACTTTGAACAGTCCAAAATTACCATGGAGGAGTGAAATACTGATTTTTTTTTTTTTGGGTGTGTGTTTGTTAATACAGTTTGACATTGCTTTTTTCAGCAACATTTTTGTATACATAAATTTCATATTATTTCAAATATACCCATCTTATTATCTTTATATTATATATATATTATTTTGTATACTCCTTTATGGTGGCTCTTGCCTAGGCTTGTCATCATTTGCATGTAGGAAGTTTTCGCAACTCAATATAAAAAACAGGATGGACTTATAAAATATATATATATATATATATATATAACAGGATGGCAAGACTCAGATTTATGGGTTGGTGCCATCTTTGAATAAATAGTAGTTTCCAAAGCATATCTAAAGATCACCAAGTGCCCCAGGGACATAAATTATATGATATCTTAACAGAGAAAACGTGTTGCTCAGAAAACATTTTACAAGAAAAATATTTTACCGATCTAAGTTTCCCTTCTTATCATATGATATCTATTACAACACATGAACTGCAGGAAGTTCTTCAATTGCTAATATCACCCCATTTTTGTAAGGATAAATGTAGTTATATAACCACCCAAACCATTCTATAAATTTTTAGACCCTTTCCCATTTTCTCTCCCCTGTAATTATAAAAAATAAAGATCTTTTATTTCAATATCAAAATGATCTTTAATTTCACACGCACACAAATTGGAAAAAAAAAAAAAAAACACTTTCAAACCATAGCAAGTCAACCAAACACATGCTGACTTGTTAGAGATTATATATATCAAGGTCAACCTTTCACTAATGAATCAAAATCACAATGATGAAAAAAATTTGATGGTATGAAACAATCTCATCTATCAAACAAAAGGTAAATCAATGTGTTGTATAATTCAATAAATTAGGTAGATTCATCAAGTTCCTGTGGTGAGGTCCGCGGCCTTGGATCACGGTACACGAACGAGAACCTATTTGAAGACTGTATAAATACTATAAAGAGAATTTCACGCCTTCATCGTCAGCTGAAGTTCCCTTGAAGATTGCAAGCTTCCCCTTGTGTTCTAGCAGTTTCAGAGCTCGCATTAGAACTGTCCGGTCCATCCCATGAAGCTCTGAAGTACATAACAGAGAGAGAGAGTGAGAGAGAGAGAGAGAGAGAGAGAGAGTGTCATATAAATGTATATACATAATCTGTGGTACAAGATTCTTACTAGGAATCAAGATTTTCAAATATCAGTAACTATATATATATATATTTAATACATGGATCCACAAAGATGACAGTAATACTAAAAAAAAGTAAAACAAAAACTGGAACCCAAAAACACCAAAACAAAATGGACCAAAAACTAAATCCTTTGTTAATGAATTGTGATAATGAGCACCAATTGGTGGAATCATCAACCCAGTACCACATTGCTTATATTATATCAGATATGTTACCCATGGAGATTATCAGATCATCATCATTATATATCATATATTCATAAGGAGACATGCTAGCTCTAAATTAGTTGTCTTTTTAAAACTAGTGCTGTGGAGCTAACATATTTTTTGGGGTAGGGTGAGTTACAGAGCTAACATATTGAAAAAGAATAAGCTTGATGCTCGACTCAAACAACCATCTGTTAATTTCCTTATTTACCACTATGGCCCACCATGTCAGATCTCTAAACCAGATTAAAATAGTAAAAAAGCACCAAATCTGGTCTTAAAAGCTTTTCAATATAGTAAAAAGTTTGGGTCTTTTATCCTCTTTGTTTTAGAAACGAAAAGAGATAAGGCATCATTTCAAAAGCAGAAATTTGTTCGAGATTGGAAGTCTGTTAAAAGCAATTTTTTTAATTCTCCAATATCTCGGAAAACAACTTATTTGTAACAAAAAATAAAAATGAGGGGGAAATGGACTGAAAATTCAGTTGGTTGCCTACTCAAACAAGCTTACTTTCAGTCTATTTAATGTCTACTCAAACTAGTTTCATAGAAAATACTTTCAAATTATCCCATAATATATATTACTCTTAAGGAAAGAATTTTTTATGAAGTTTGGATGAAACCCAAGATATTTATTTTATGACACCCTGTATAGATTGAACCCCAATCCCCTAAAATAAAAAAACTCTTTTGTATTATATATTACTCTAAAAACAACAAAACAACCATGGATTGCAGATTTTTTTTCCAGGACATACAATATTTTTTTTAATGCAGCTAACGTTTACCTGTTCCTCGGGATTCAGTCCCTGAACGTATTTCCTCAACTGTCATCACACTGTCCTCCAATCCATTTTCTTTTACCTAATCAAACATGTGAGAATAATCTTCAAAAAAACACTCGTGATAGAAGGGCAGAATCCTATCCAGATCATATTTTTACTCACAAAGCTTAAAATCAATTCAGCCCAATCTTGAATCCGATGCCAAAGGATAAGACATTTTCTATGACCTTTATCCATCCATTCTGCACGGCCTGTTAAATAAATATTGTTTCAAGAATCAAGCAACATATTCATTATGGCATGAACATGGTGAATTGAATGAATAAGAATGACATGAAAACAAACCATCTGAAACTAAGCCTGAGAGGAATGCCTCCCTAGCTTCGTGACTAAGAGACCCTGCACTATCACAAAACAAATGTAACTAAGCTGCATCAAGTCAAATGCACAAACAAACTACAGACAGGGTGAACTCAAAACAACTTGCTAATACAATGACTGGTACAAGTGCATTAGATAGTTTATTTTATGTTCATATGAAAAAGACACCAATTTGATTCTCGGATGACAAAAAAACATACATATACGTGTGAATTCTATAAATATGTATTCCAAACAACATTGTTCCAACAGCCAATGACAATTAGCTAGTTAAGAACGTCAAATCTGGTTGAGGAGGACCATGACTTCCTACAAGCATCAGCACTCTGAAATCCATTGATAAATAAAGAGCCTTTTTTTTCCGGAAGGTGAATAAATAAAGAGCATTTTGTCTTCCTATTTTTGTAGGACAAATCAAAGTTAACAAGAGAAAAAAAATCATAAATTAATTGAAGCAACTCAAGTCTACTAGTGATTCCAGTCAAATGGCCAAGCTATCGTGCCCTCCCTTTCGACTTTGTGTTTGAAACAGAAGGAGTCTTAGGTGAGAGGGTCACAGGTATTAAATTGATTAGAACCTTTTAAAAATTGACATGGGCGGCCACCTAACACCAAAATAAAGTGTGTTACGTCACCTAAAACCCTTTTGTACCAGAAATGTAAATTATTCTGTGCCCCTTTACATCCCATAGGAATTGCTTTATTCTACAACGAGAATTCACTATCTGATAAATTGAAGGTTACTACTACCCCCGTATATCAATGCCAAGCCAAAACTTCCTACATTCGAGGGAAGCATCGAGAATCAAGAAAATGCTGCTATGTTAGAAGAAGAAGTTGAGGATCGTTGAGACCTTCTACAGGTGCTGCTACCAATGCTGGGTATCCCTCGGTTACTTTGAGCAGGTGTGCGCTCATAGGACCTAACCAGATATAGAAAGTGTGCCATGTGTGGCTGGGTAGAATCACCAATGTTACACCAACCCATTGCCAAATCATAGGTCAAAATGTTGAGTCTTGATGATTCGGACATGGATCCTTCAATAATCATTGAAAGTGGGGTCAAGTTGTATATGTTCTCACTTAACTTGTCAAAAAAAAAAAAAAAAATTTGAATTATCAAGAGAGTACTAATTAGGATCCACGACCCAAGCAAAAAGGGGTCAAAAGCTCATCCAACAAGTCATCAGGCTGTAAGACACCAAATTCGGGCCAATACATCACAACAAAAACAATGCCCAAGAATTATATCACTTTTACTGCCTATATAACCAATATAAAGACCTTTTTAACATTCTGGATAAAACTTGAGCCTCTCAAATATATATCTAGATAAGTACCAGGTAAACATGATGTTCGGAGGGAAAAAGCATCCAACAAGAGATTTAATCAGATATCCACAGGAGAGAAGAAAGTTTGCTTACTTTCAATCACAGAATTTGTGAACAGAGGGAAGTCTTCTTCCAGTCCAATCATAAATATATTTTGGGTCCTACAATAATCAAGTATCAGCTCCTTCCAAAGTTGTACCTGTTTCTCTCGAGTGTCCCTCACTGGCTGCAAACTGGAGGGGGGAAAAAGAAATAAAGAAAGAAAACATGCATTTACCAATGAATCTCAAATTTCTAATCAGAAATAACAAAAGTTTTGAACTTGAAAATAAGGAAAATATGAATATAAATGTACTCATTTAGTCAATAATAATGGTAAAGATGCCAAGTGACAGCTCCAGGTGTAAAATATATTTATGGAAAATCCTAAACCCTCGACAACTGACTGCAAGAGTGGATGGGTATGGATATATGTTGAGAGTCATGATTCTAAATTCTTCACATTGTAAATCCAAGGATGCCAGATGTAACCTTTTAGAAAACATTACAAGGGAGAGAAGAGGATATGGCTACAATACGTATATTGCATATTCGTATGTCTCGTCTATGGATACACATACAAACAGAAGAGGGCTCTTATAAAGATAAACTCTGATTTGACCTCTAGAGCCAATAAAAATAAGGAACCTAGTCTTAGCCAATTAAATCATAAACCAATGTGGACGCTCCATGGATCTTTCGTCATGTGGATCTAATAGTCTACATATGTCAATGAACCAAGCTTTAACGAGAAGTTCAACATGATGAGAGCACTATCTGGTCCAGCGGAAGCTGTACAAAGTATACAAGTATGGACCAACAAGCTGAACAAAGAAAGGAATCAATTGCATAAAGAGCAACCTAGCTTGACCGTTGACCACGTATTTCGAAATTAAACATTTGGCTCATGAGTTTTTCACTCGTTAATTGGTGCAGCTTCTGTTGAAGTAACAATGACAATTTTATAAATCCACTCCGATCCCTGCCTTTCTGTTGGACCTTGCTTTAATTTTGTTGTCTCTTCTTTAAACTAATTTCCCATGAATAATGTGATTTTCCTAATTAACCAAGCTAATAAGACAATCCTGAACCAATCTCAAGTTCACATTTTTCACATAAGAGTTCAAATGAAAGCAGCTTCCTGAATGGTTTCATGTAAACAGCTACAACTCAACCAAATTGGATTTGTAGGGATTTGAAAATATATATATATATATATATATATAGCATTTTCAAATCCCATGAAAAAAAGAGGTTGTCGTTTCATCCTTTTGCGAGGACGATGTTATCTTTCTACAAGGGTGCTCCTGTTATCTTTGTTGAAGGGTTTTGTGTAAACAGCTACAACTTGAAACCAAATTGGATTTGGAGGGATTTGAAAAAAAATTTATAGCATTTTCAAATCCCATGAAAAAACGTCTGTTTCATCTGCCTTGGAAATTACTAAATCTATATAAGGGGAAAACTCACACCAACTCCACACCTCTTAAAATCTGCTTAGCTCCACTTGGTGTTTAATCACTGAGATGGGATTTAATTTTAAATTCTTTCATTTTCTTTTCCTTTTTCAGAACTCATTTCCAATAAGGCTTTGGTTCCAAGCACAATGCAAGTTTCCCACTCTAATATGCAGTAAGAGCCTAACATAAACAATCTTAGTCAAAATAAGGCTGAGCCATTCAAACACAAAATCCAACCACATTGCCATCATAGAAGGAAAAAATAAATGATAAAAATGAAAGAATTCACATATTTAATGGCATTAAATAACAGTACACTGTCCGTGTTGAAAAAATATAATACAAATGAATAAGCTAAATAAGAGGAAGTCGTATTTTTTATCACAAAGATAATGACATTTAAGAACCATGTTGCATAGACACTTCAAAGCAGGTGAAGCACCGCAGACACACGAGACTCAAACAAGGGTATGGGACATGTGTCCAACACTTTTGGTTGGACATGCAACTAAAAAGCAAATCCAATAATTCAATTTTATTATATTTTCACAAATAAAATAAAATGGTTACGTGAAACCATTACTTTCCTCTACAAAATAAAATAAAATAAAATATTAAATAGCATGCATATTTGACATGTCCCACACTTGAATACATATCTCACCCTGTACATAGGCACATGTACCCGAGTCCATGTAACATAGTTTGAACATAAAATTACAAAACCCAGTTAATCCCATATTCAGCAATAGAAATAATGATCAATTAAAGTTCAAAGGGAACAGGCAATTACGTGAAATATGGCGGATAATTGAAGAACTGGGGCAGTTTAAAATCACCCAATTTCTGCATCTTTTTAATGCTCTCTCCCGTATAAGCAATCTACAATCGCATCTCTGTTATTCAAAAAAAATATGGACATGGAACCAATCAAATAAAAATGTAAAAGCAATTACATTAAGAACACCTTAAAAAATTAAAATCACAATCTTGGAATCACATCCTATACCAGAAGTTCCTAATTTCTTTAAATCAGCTCCCATGCATAATTCATAGACTATGAACTCAAACCCCACTTAGTCCAAATCACAAGGCAAAACCGTAAATCTTAATCGGATCCCAATATTCACAGTGATCCAAGCTATTCAGTTTGAGTTTTGACAAACACCATCAAAAGGGAATAGTCATTGAAAATTAGCAAAAATTAATGTTTAAAACACTAATATTAGACTACTGCAACTAGAATAAAACCCGTATAACGCCATCGAAATTATGTAAAAATCAACTGAATAATCAATCTGTGAATCGATAAGAAGGAAATACTACAGAAATTGAACAATGGGATATTATCTATTTATGTTTAATACTACTAAATACTTTATATATAGAGAGAGAGAGAGAGAGTAATACCGGGGAAGAAGGGAGGAGGTGAGGTCGGGCTTTCTTGCTCGGGAGATGCAGAAGAGAGGAACTTTGACGAGTGAAGGGTTAGGATTCAGAGTGGTCGGCTGTTCGGTTGAAGTGGATGTTGTTACCGTTACGATGCGAGGCTTTGGATCTGACGGCTAATAGTTGACCATCGTGAAATGATAGAACGCAGAATTTGTGACATCTACATGAGCCTTAGCATTTGTAACAGACTGTGAAAGGAATGTTTTGTTTTGTTTTTGATGACCCATAACTCATGAGGCAGGGCCTGCGGACCACCCCAGGGTGCCAAACTGGGATATAGCCGTCCCCAGTAGTCCGCCTCACAACTACAGTATCAGGTAAACCGAAGAAATTGGAGGTTAAGAGGAGTTGAACACTGACCGATTAGGTGCCAGCCCCAAGTCCCTATCATCACTGCCAAGCCTCCGGGGGCCTGTGAAAGGAATGTTGGTAATAAAGCAACAAATAAACGATTCGAGTTTGAGTCTGTTTGACTCGGCTCACTCATTTGTGTTTTACTGTTCTTAACTCGAGTCTGTTCGACTTGAAAAGCTTATATTTATGAAGGCTAATCCTACGTTCACGAGCATGCACAAATCAAATCAAATATTGTTTCAAGATTTCGATTTTTTTTTTTTTTCCTCTTCAGGATTTCATTTATCCAGCTTAAAAATCAGATTCGAACTTGACTTATTTATTTAATAAACAAGTCTGAGTCCGAATCCGAATTGTAGCTTGAACAAGCCTGAATTGTTCATCAATACTCAATTTATTTGCAAGCGTTCTTTGATATGTTTTATACAACATTTTTTTTATACTTGAAGTATTTTTTATTTGTTTGCTAATAAATAATAATATTACTTAAAACACTTTTATTCATGTCTTAATACACATGTACATAATCCAAGTACTAATTAGTAGGGGTGTACACACCGATCTAAAATAGAACCGGAATGGTTATATACCGAACCGAACCAAACCGAACCGGCATTTCATGGAATCGTCGACTGTTTTGAGTCTTATTGACTGCTACAATAGAAACTTAAATTTTATCAGGAGCTTTGCAAAACTCCGGCCATCCCTCTTCCTTCCAAGGCCTGATATGAAAGGTTATTTCGGTACACACACACACACAAAATAAAAAAAAAAAACAAAAATAGAAGTTATAGAAATTAAGAATATATATATTTGTTTTGCTGAAATAACATTTAGATTACGGTGATTACCTCAAAATTATTTTTTAAAAAGATCATAAAAAATTTCACCAACTAGGATTTAGTTTGCAAAACAAGAATTACAGACCTTAATTAATTGATTTAGAAAAAATAAAAAATAAAACAAAACCCCATACATGCAAGGTAGCAGTTGGAGATAGAGAGAGAGAGAGAGACAGCGGCTGAAGCTTGCGAACCCGAACTGGAACAGCGGGTGAGGAGGCCCGATATGACATGGGCTAGGTGTGACTTGCAAACGCGGCATTGAGTCCGTACAGGTGGGTCAGGCCCATAAAAAGGCACTACCATATGGGCCGAACGCGCATAGGCCCATCAAAGAGGACCGGGACTCATGGAGGAACGGGCCTAGATCCAGCAGTCCATCAATATTTGTAAACCTCTATAAATAGGAGGAGTAAGGTAAAGAAAAGGGTATCTTTTTGGGGGTTGAGAGAAAGGAATACTAGAGAGAGAGTGAAGAAAGAATTTCTTGTATCTTCAATTGAGTTCCGGTGAAACATTGGCGAGGGTGATTCCAGTAGGAATATTGACCCAGCCATCTATTTTCGAAGAACCATTGGACTCTGACCCTTGGCAAGTCAACGTCATACCGTATGAACCAAGTTGGATTGACCCCATCATTACTTATATTCGAGATGGCGTTTTGCCTATGCAAAGGGATGAAGCTAGGAAACTCAAAAAGAATGCTGCAAAGTACGCCATCGTGCATAACCAGCTATACAGAAGATCCTACTCTGGCCCATACTTGAAGTGTCACCCCCGCGGAGTCACAGCAGATATTGCGAGCTATTCACGAGGGCGTGTGTGGCAATCATTCTGGGGGAAGGTCGTTAGCGCATAAAGCAATGACACAAGGGTATTTCTGGCCAAACATGTCAAGAGATGCGGAGGAGTTCTCTCGAACGTGCGATAAATGCCAACGATATGGACCATTGATCCACCAACCACCTGAGGAACTGCACGTAATGGCCTCGCCGTGGCCTTTCGCGCAATGGGGGATGGATGTGGTCGGTCCTCTGCCAACTGCAAGAGCTCAGAACAAGTATGTGTTACTGGCCACGGATTACTTCACTAAGTGGGTGGAAGCAGAACCATATCCTAGCGTGACTCAGACTCATGTGAGACGATTTATTTGGAACAATATTATCTGCCGTTTCGGCGTTCCAAGATCAATAGTCATGGATAATGGCACGAACCTCGACAGCAGGCAAGTAAGAGAGCTGCTGGAGGAGTATGGAATCAACCAGAAGTTGGCTGCAGTAAGCCATCCTCAGGCCAACGGACAAGCAGAAATCACAAACAGAACCATTTTCGCCTGCATTAAGAAGAAGCTGGAAGACCATAAAGGGAAGTGGTTGGATGAGCTCCCGAACGTCCTATGGGCTTACAGAACCACCCCCAGGCGGCCGACTGGGGAGAGCTCGTTTGCAATGGCATATGGTACCGAGGCAGTTATACCGGTTGAGCATTTGGTCCCCACTATCAGAAGCTTAGCATGGAGTCGAGATCAGAACGACAAGATGTTAAGATTGAATCTCGATATGATAGACGAAAGGAGGGACACAGCGGTTATAAGGTTAGCATCGTATCAGCAAGTATTGGCGAATAGTCACAACAAAAGAGTAAAACACAGGGATTTTGCCCCTGGCGATCTGGTTCTGAAAAGAAAGGTGGGGATGGTCAAAAAAATGATGCCACCTTGGGAAGGCCCATACAGAATTGCAGAAGTCATAGGCAAGGGAGTATATACGTTGGAAACCATGGCGGGAAGGTTGGTCAGCAAGCCCTGGAACGCCACGTCTCTGAAGAGGTAGTACCAATAAAAGCTAAGTTTCGGCTTTAATTGGATGTTGTTTGTTGTCAATCAAGTACGTATGAATGTGCAAGTTACTGAAGTTTACAAAAAATAACTTTCCTTTCCAACGGCCTACTAAAAAATGAAAAGCCAAGTGGCAAGTGGCATTCTAGCCGAGCGCCAGGCACTCAAGCAAGATAAGTGGCAGCTGGCACCATAAGCCGAACGCCAGACACTTGCTAAAAAATGAAAAGCCAAGTGCCAAGTGGCAAGTGGCATTCTAGCCGAGCGCCAGGCACTTAAGCAAGATAAGTGGCAGCTGGCACCATAAGCCGAACGCCAGACGCTTGCTAAAAAATGAAAAGCCAAGTGGCAAGTGGCATTCTAGCCGAGCGCCAGGCACTTAAGCAAGATAAGTGGCAGCTGGCACCATAAGCCGAACGCCAAACACTTGCTAAAAAATGAAAAGCCAAGTGGCAAGTGGCATTATAGCCGAGCGCCAGGCACTTAAGCAAGATAAGTGGCAGCTGGCACCATAAGCCGAACGCCAGACACTTGCTAAAAAATGAAAAGCCAAGTGGCAAGTGGCATTCTAGCTGAGCGCCAGGCACTTAAGCAAGATAAGTGGCAGCTGGCACCATAAGCCGAACGCCAGACGCTTGCTAAAAAATGAAAAGCCAAGTGGCAAGTGGCATTCTAGCCGAGCGCCAGGCACTTAAGCAAGATAAGTGGCAGCTGGCACCATAAGCCGAACGCCAGACGCTTGCTAAAAAATGAAAAGTCAAGTGGCAAGTGGCATTCTAGCCGAGCGCCAGGCACTTAAAGGTGGCAGCCGGCACCATAAGCCGAACGCCAGACACTTGCCATAAACAAACACACGGCAAAGTTAATATAAAAGAAAAGAGACAAAAGGCATATATGTATTCAAAATAGGTTGAACAGAGCATAGCACAAAGGAAAAAGGGAAAAAGAGTTTTGTCATTTCATTCGTAATAAGCATTGAGTTTACAAAAAATGAGATATCCAAGTCACATAGTTACAAAAAGGGTATGGAATCGAAGAGTCCGGAGGAGTCCTAGCTAGCTGCCTCAGTACCAACAGCATCCTGGTTGTGCCGACCCGCCTCCTCGGTCCCATCAGCCGTCTCACCTTCACGAGGTGGGGAATCAAGATGAATGACTGAATCGTTCGGCTGGGGCTCAACGTCAGCAGTGGCTATGGAAGGTACCACAGTTGACGATTGAGGAGCGGTCAGAGGCAGAGCGGTAGGAGGAGCTGTAATGATCCTTGAGGAAGCAATGTCCTGGCACTCATCGAATATGCGCTCCGCTTCGGTGGGTTCTGGGTCGACATAGACCCCCAGAGGTTCGATCCCTAAATCCTTGTCGACCTCATCTGGAGTGGAGCTGGTCTGTCCCTCATCTGGAACTCGGTCGGTGAAACCTTCTCGGAATCCTTGAGCATATCTAAGAGCACCGACCCTTGAGAACCGAGCGTGAAGAGCCAGCATCCCACCGCTCACTCTGCTGATCGCATCGATCAGAGCGGTACGCTCGTCCAGAGCTCTCTTCTCAAAAGCCATCCGAGCAGACTGTTCATCAGCCAGAAGGAGCTGGAGCTCTGCCTTTTCGTCTCTGATTGAATCACGCTCAGTCTGCCAGACGCTCTTTTCAAGCTGGAGGGCATCCTTCTCATCCTGAAGAGAGTCATTCTCCTTCTTCAGGACATCTCTCTCTTGTTCAGTTTTTTCAAGCCGAGCCAGTACCTCGGTATTCTTGATGGCGAGAAGGTCGTTTTCTTTATTAGCCACCTCCAGGCTATCAGAAAACTTACGAGCCCTAACATTCCCCATCTCCACCTGTTTCTGCATAGCCATCATTCCGAACAATGTCTGCATAGATGTACATTAATAACGGTTAAGCCAATAGTCAGGTCGGGCGAAGGCAAGACCAAATAATATGAGAGAATTCATGAGTTGGAAAATAAAAGTCACCTCCATAGCAGATTGGGGAAAGCGGCTGAACACATCCTTCTGGGATAGGCCCTTTGCCGCCTTAAGGTCTTTCGGAGTCCACATGCTCCTATAGTACGCCATGGCGGTCTGGCCATCTTTCAGCATGGTCTCGTTCGGTTTCACGAAC